ATCAAGGCGAGAAGAAAAACAGTCAGTTCTCCATCCTCCATATGGCCAACCGCCAGTCCAGCAGGCCTGCCAGACCCCAAGAACCTTCGGGAAAAGATTTTCGAAAAAAAGAAAATAAGAGAAAAACTAATAAAAAGAAGGTAAAAATAATAAAATAATAAAAGTAAAAAAGGAAAAAGAACAGACAATTGGCCACCAGTCCTAACACAGGGGGTGGCCGTGCTGCAATTTAGCGGCCTTGCCCCTTGTCCTTACTACGCTGGACACCTTCAGTCATGCCCGTCTTGCGCCATGCCGAAAACCCCACACAAGCCCTCCTTCTCGGAATGCCCGACCGCTGCTCTCCCCAGCCCGCCAGGCATTAGACCCAGTCGAACCATATGCCCCACACAAGCCCTCCTCCTTAAAATGCCCGACCGCTGTTCTCCCCACCCCGTCAGGCATTCGACCCAGTCGGACCATATGCCCCCAAATTTTGCCGAAAAATTGCACAGTACGTTGTCGAAGTACTCATCCGGAAATCCTCGCTTCCTGAGCTCAATTTTCAGGGTCAACAGGAATGCCACCTCAGTCCCCGCCATTGTGGTGTACGCCTTCGCCCTGTGTAAGCATGAGCCAATGATGGCCATCTTCTGCAGCCGACTGGAGTAAGAACAAAAGTCCTGCAAGTTCTGGAAGAGAAGATTTTTCTCTTTGTACCCCCTTTGGTTCTTGTGCAGCGCCACCACCTGTATACCCCAAGGCCATCCTAGAACCTTAATTACACAGCCCAAGAAATCCCAGCAATCTCCCCCACTAGTCTGTTCTAACACGAGATTACTATCGTAACAGACTTTGAACTTCTCTATAATAGACGACGCGAGGGAAAGGGACACCGGATCCTCAGCATTGTATCGCACAAAGAATGAAACATCATCAACCATTCGTATCCCATGGACCAGGCGACAGTCACTACCAAGAGAAGAAATAAATCTAAACTCATTGTAGGCACAGAGCAGACATGCCAAGGCCGGACTAGACGCTTTGCCCATCGGTATTCCAACCCTTTGCTGTAGGACGCGACCACATGCCTTGAACAGAGTGCATTCCAGATCAAATTTGACAAAATCAACAATAATACTGAAGGGTATGGAACTCCAGCCCACCTGCGAACCCCCACTTTGTAATTTAGTGCCCTTGCCCCTTGTCTTCACTAACACGACAGTATAGCCTCTGATCTCCCAAAAGTCCACAACCCATCTTACAGCCTCCAAAATCGACACATGTGGCAAGTTGCAGAACATTTCCTTTATGTCAAAAGCTGCACTTGCAAACTTCTCTCCTCTCTTCAAATCTGCATTCACCGTGCGAACACTCGCTGCCAAGTCTTGCAATCTTCTTACTGGCAGCGACACCACACTCGCAATAAGTGGGGCAAATCGGACGCCATTTAGAGATATCCTTGTGCTTCGGCACAGAGTACGCCTGTCCCAAACTCCCTTTGTTATTCCATTTTCCCAATCGCTCAAAACCACATCTCTTGTACTTATCCGCACATTCTTGAATCACCCTCACCTCACTTTCACAGTGCACAAAGCCGGGGTTTGCCAAAAATAGCTTTTCCATACTCTTCCTGTACACTATCGGGCAACACACTAAGGAATCACCCACGTTGTGATCAATTGGGCATCTCACCAAACCCCCCAGTCTCTGCTTCCATCTTAGGACCTCGCCCATGCTCGTCTCACACCTCCCTACCATATCAGTCGTTCTGTTAAAACAAGCATCAATCCATTCCTTCTCAAATAGATCCGCTTCCAAGGTCGGTAGGATGGACGTTTGTGCAAAAGAAGATATGATTTGTCGGATCAATCCTTGCCGCAAAGTATTGTGGTCAGGCCTTGGAATATTCCGTGAATTCTTCAGAAAAGAAGGGACAAAATCAACAGCTGATAACCGAAAGCAAACATGCCCATCAACCCTTGGAAAATCCTCGTCAGTTCCCATACAACAACATTGATGCTCAGACTGTCTCGCCACCGTTCTGAAATTGAAAAGAACGTCCCTGATGCTTCGGTTTTTAACCCACACCACCCTCATCCTTCGCTTCACCATGTCCTTCACACAACTCGGCATATCCAGCCTGCTAACAAGCTCACAACACGTCTTACGAATGGCACACTTACTAAGACACAAATCATATGTTACCCGCACTATCAGACGCGATCTTACATTGATTCCAAACCATCTGCGAATGGCCCCCGACAAGACACAGCGCAGGGTATAACGCGTTCTTTTTTCCCCAAAGCATCTGATAGCCGTATAGAGTCCTACCAACTTCTCGAGATCCCAGAAAGCAAGACACGCACGAGAAGCCGGTTCCTTCAGAAGGCTAAGCAAGGTGGGTTTCAAACACAGTGAGGTAGAACAGAAATAGGAAATTGTCCGAAAAATCAACACCATTCCATGCGAGAGCCACCCTCGACTCTTTTTCAGGGCAGCCACCCTGAAGGAGGTTTCCACAATCGATCCTCCAAAACAACGCCTAATAATCCTCCATTGATCCAGGAGCAAATCTCCGCCCTCACAAACCACCGTCAGCTCGTTTATTCCTTTTTCACGTGCCTCGTTCAACAATCGCAAAAGACTTGCCGTCCGAAACCCATCCAGAGCTTCAAAATTCAAATGCATGTGCCTGCCCCTATTGGTCCCCCTCTTTCCCACACCTGCCCCCTGTTGCTTCCTCCTCAATTTCCCTCGCTCTCGTTTGCCAAGTCTGCATTTCTTTCTATGCATCGGCTTATCCCGACAATTAAGAAACGGGTTCGTTCGTCGAATTACAAAATTTTCCAACCCCAATCTATCCTCCTCAGCACACACAAATAACGGCAATGCAACGTAACTTCCTGGACCGCATCTTCACAACCAATTATACAGTTTGTGGTTCCTGTCACCTTGCTCCACCACCTTGCCACTACAAGCCCGATACGCATGCTCACCCCATCGCACATCCAGGGACCTACCTGTCGATCCTACATAAGAGTGCTTGTGCCACGGGGACAGAAGTACGTAAACCAAGGGTCCTTTACAACGGAAGAGATCACCACCATTCCGCACCATAGAGAAAAGGTACGATCTATAGTTCTCAGCCCAAGGAATCAAGCCACACAGGACGAGAAGAAGGACCACTACCTGGAAGAGAGCATTCCAAGACACACCCCTTAAAGACCGAGTAGACAAAGATCTGTTATCACGACAAACCTTAGCAAGATCCCATAGCATGGCCGCGTTCCGGAAGTCCCATCAAGATGAATCTGACGGGACTTCTTCCATGACCGCAATGTTGCTGTCCTCCGAGGGTGTCTTTCCTCGACCCTGTTCAACATCCACCTTGTCCAGCCCTTCACTGCTTCCCCCAAACATCCTTTCCGCATTCAATTGCGCCAACTCTTCTACCGTGATGTCCATGTTCTTGTATGCGACACCCATCTCTCTGCACAATGGTTCCAAGCCCGACTTCTTCAGTGCTCGCAAGCGCTTCCGTTCTTCTTGAAGAAACACATATCTATCGTTTGCCCTTGAAGCACTCCCGTCTGAGCGAGGCAGCCTCCCGGGCGTCATCTTCACCCGTCCTCTCCGTCCAGTGCGATAGCCCGTTTTGGCGGCCTCCTCCATCTTTTCTTTTAGGTTCGTCCCCTGTCCCCCTGGTGTGCTGCAGCCCGCTCCATCAGTAGCAAGCTGGCTCATCTGTTCTCGCAGGCGTGCAATCTCGGCTTCGGCCTTCAGTCGTCCGACCTCTGCTGCAGAACTCCGTTCTTTTAGCATGTCAACCTCCGTCTGATCACATCGCCTTCTCTCCTGCAAGTCGCACAACTCAGCTCGCAACCGCCTTGTCTCCTCCGGCGTTGTTGCGGTCCTTAACCGAATCGCTGCCCGACCTTCGCTAGCCGGAGTTGATATGTTAATGCTACCACGCTTGTTTCCCGGCCGCAAAGCTTCATTGCGCCAAAGCTGCGCCACCTCCTCCGTCTCCTCATTCCGCTTTCGTAAAGCTTCCATCTCTGCCCGCAGATCATCAATCTGCTTAGTAAGTTCACTCCGTCCCATGATCTCCCTATTTTCCTTCAGATCCCGAATTTCCCACCTCAAGGCCGCCAAGTCGCCTTCCAATTGCTGCTTGATCTCAGTTTCCTTCTTTCTCAATTCCACGTTCTCCTTCTGCAAACGATGGTCAATCAAGCGACATCCTCAAGAGAAGGAGAAAGTAAGAAGAGAAAGAGGAAGAAGAAGAAAATAGGAAGGGGAAGAAGAAAAGCCACACTAAGCCAGAGAAGCCAGAGAAGAGATCACACGTCCCAAATTTCTCGAAACTCGACCGAAATGGCCGTCAGAATTTCAACGTAAAGCACCGCCTAGTACATCGAATAATCATCGTGAGTCTCATGGCGCAGCGACCCTACGCTGCGTTTCATCCGGCCGCCACACGGGAATCATCAGGGGTCTTAGTTC